AAAATGGATCATATGAAAGCTTTCAGGGTCATTCAAAGGTATGGTTAGATCTAAGGATTTTCAGGATTATAATAACTAACTCCTCCTCTGGAATGTTTAAAAGTGCTTGAAAACCTATTCAGTAACACACAAAACCTAATAATTAGCAAATGTCACAAAAGAAAACTTTGTAAGGTTTCCACAAAAATATAAAAATTAAGTAAGGCTATTTTATTTATTTGGGGAGAGACTGGCCAAAGAATGAAGAGATCTTAGGGGCTGCTGCCAGATGTTGGGGGCCTCTGTTATGTGAAGTAGAAGTCTCTTCATATCCGGATAGCTCACATAGCTCGGAGTTATGTGCTGAGACTCCTTTCATAGCGAGGTGCCTTCCTGGCAATTTTCCTGACTCTCCTTTTGAAGTGCCCGCCACAAATGCCATAACATAAACACAGCCTCTGGCTCTAGGAATACCATGCTTTCCTGTGTGATTTTTCAGGTAGTCAGCAGTCTGGCAGCATGGCAGAAACCCACTTCCATATGCAAATAGAATGCCTCACAAAGTATCTATCAGCCAAAGCTTTTACCACTACCCCCATGGTATAAATATCCCAGTCTTTCTCTCAATATCAGAGAGCTGGGTCGCAGAGAGCTGGATCACTTGAAGCTACACTTAATAAAGCTGTGACACGGGCTAAGCCGAGTCTTGAGTCTTGTGTCTTACTACCAGCAACCCAGCCTCTCCGGGGGGCGCATTCCTCCGTTACCGGCTCATGGATCCCAGCTTCAACCACCTCGCGATCTCCCGCGTTATCCAGTGGCCAGTGGATTTTGCATCAAGAGGAAAGCGCACGGGGGAAATTAAGGTGGTATACGGCTGGACAACGCTCCAGCAGCAGAGGCCCATAGAGACACGGAGAAGCCCGCGGGACCAGACCCACCTTCCTCCAGGCGCACGGCAGAGAAGCCTGTGGACCTGCCGTGCCATTCCGGGAGTGTGCGCAGGGACCCCGAGGTGCCCGTGCTCCCCACGCCAGGGAGCCACGATGGTCAACGAGGTTAAGTGACCAACCCAGTACCATATGACACAAAAGCTTGCCACATTAAATGCTCTTCATGAATTATTTTGTAGTCCTCCTGACAACTCTATTCATGCTCCCAACTTTATAGTTGAGGTTCAGAAAGGTTAAATAATGTGCACAAAATTACTCAAGTAGTAAGTGGCAGATAACATTCAGGTTTCTCTGGCTTCAGAGCCAGAGAGCTAAACTAGTTTGCTATTTAAGTCCTCAGCTCCTCATTGGGACCAGTTACCTACAATCTACAATAGCATGGTTTTAAAAAGTCTTGAGGCAGGTTTGGAATTTCTAAAGTAAATTAAGTAGAAGAGAAGAAAACATTAAAATAGGGAGAGAAAAGAAAAATAAGAGAAAAAAGAGAAAAGAAAGAAGGTCTGCATGATTCTGAAGTTTATAAAAGGAGGTCAGTTTTACCTGGTTAATTCTCGTAGTCGAGTAACCTCAGCATCACGCTGGCGTAGCGTTATTCCAAGTATCTGATTTTCCTTTTCAACAGTTTCTAACTTAAACCGAGAGTTTTTCTCATTGGCCAAGGATTCCTCCAATTCTAAAGCAGCAAAGAAGATTCAGTTTCCTTACCCCTGTTGTATTTTTTTAGTGCCTACAACTATAGTCCAAATACATACCCATTTTTACTCTTGTCATCTCAATGTCAAATTGCTGTTTATTTTGAAGAAGAGTTTGCTCTTTGTCTTTAAATATACTAGTAAATTTTTTGTTTTCATCTCTCTGATTTTCTATCACTTTTAAAAGTTCTTCATTTCTATTCTGTAGCAATTCCTGGCTCTTCAGTGACTCCTGCAATTGATTTTGCAGTGACATGTTCAATGACTGAAGGGGAAACACTGTAAAAGAAAACAAAGCCAAGAGTTGCTTCCCAATTTTTAAAGCACACTTAGAAAATATCTGCTTTTAGAAAAAAGAAAGTCCTGGAGTCCACTGATTTCACTTACCAATTATGTGCATGAATAAGTCTATATAAATACTAAATGTACATTTAAATACTGAGTGGCACATTGCACTTGGTTACCTGCTAGAACTTGACAATGAGACTCTATTGCTGAAGACACTACATACCCAAGTTGTAGAACAAACAAGGAGAAATGAAGCTGGTACTGGCCTCAAAACTTCATCTGTCCTGGCTAGCTTTCATAGTAGTAAATGATGCTATGCATGTTACTGGCAGAGAAAGCTAATCATCAGCTTTACTCAGCTGTGAACCCTGCAAACTACAATAACAGCTGATTTGGCAAAACATGCCCCCTGGTATAATAGTGGCATTAGTGTTACTGTAGTAACTAACTGCCTTCTGATTGGATTTAAAGCCCACTTCACAAGACAGAATCTATACTTGATACTGTTATCAGGGTAAAACCTGTGGCTAGACAGGTCACACAGGAGATCCTACTACTATTATTCTGCTAAATAGACATAAGTATTAAACTGACTCCTAATGACTTATTGTTGTACCCACAGACTAGTGCATTTCTCAACTCTCATCAGAGAAGGTTCTTCTCACAACAGATGGAGATTAACACAGAGATGCACAACTGGTCAATGTGCAGGGAATAAGAGACTATGGAGTGTTCAGCCCTAAATGGGTCACGTATATCAAACCCTTTCCTCCTAAGGTTCAAAGATCATTGCAGAAGAGGGGATGGAAAGATTATAAGAGCCAGAGATGGTAGATAAAAAACAAGTAAATGTGTTGTGTGGATGCCAGAATAGTTGCACATATGAACCCACAGCAGTTAATGACAGCATACACAAGACCTGTTCAAGCCCAAGCCAGACAAAAGCCCAGCACTGATGGGGGAGGTGGACAAGAAGACCCAGTCCCTAGATGAGGATCTGCTGGCAACTGATAGACACTGGGAAAGGGAGTCAGTTTTCCTTACTGGTATAAGGCCTGGTAAGGTGACCAGACTCCAAGGGACAGACATACACACAAGAACACTTGGGAAACACAGATTAGAAGGACGAGGGGGCGGGGGAGTAAAAAATGAGGGAAGAGGGAGGAGGTCTGACTATGATCAAAATATACTGCATGAAATTCTCAAAACAAATTTTTTAAAAGTTAAATTGAGTGGCAGAAGTCATGTCTTCTTTAATTGACAATTTGGTCATTATTTTTACCTTTTAAATGAAAAAGTAAATCATACACAAAGTATTTCAAGTGTCAAAAAATGTCTATGTGACAACAAATGATTCCTAATTACATAATGTTCCTCCTTTCCCCCATCTCAGCTCTCCTCCCAGAAGCAATCACTATTAATTTTGGTTATCTTTCTGGAAAACATTTATGCATGTAACAGTTTACATAAAACATACATATATTTCAAAGCAAAAGAGTCATACTATGCTTACAGTTCCTAACTTGGAATTTTTTTTTCTCTCCCTATTATTAGGTATCAGCATGTAGATCTACCACATCCTTGTTCATGACTAGTAAAGTATATGGCAGACTTCCATATAAGGTAGGGATTAGAAGACTCCCATTTGGTGAAAGAAAACAGGAAGGATAATACACATTAAGCTCTTATCCTGCAAGAGACAAGGTCTGTAAATGAATTTATTAAGCCAGGGGGAATTTGTGTAAAGAACCAAGCAAAAAACCTGAAAATGGGAGTACAACTGGACTTCCTCCTCAATCGGCACCATGCCCGCCTGACAAATAACGCTTCCCAGGAGAGTGCAATAGAAACAGCAAAGAAAGTGCCGCTCCTCACATGCACCAGATCAGCAGGATCAGAAAAGGACACAGTAGAGTGCAGGGGTCCAAGCCAACTACCAGAAAATGACTTACAACTTCCCCTCACCCATAAGCCAGAACCTTAAGAACATGGAGGCTGCACAAACCAATGCCTTCCTCTTTCCCCTTCCCCCACACAGCACCAAGGATCTTGCTATACAGTCAGGGATCTGAGAACTTCACTTTTCAACTTAGGGCAGCTGTGCCAGCAATTCATTCAGTAAAGGTTACACTAGGAACCCTAAGTTCCCAGACTGAGGAATTATTTTCTAACTACATATTCAATTCTACCACAACCAGGTTCCACTTGAACATTGTAAATACGTCACCTAAAAGAACACAGCTGATCTAAAAAAAAACTTTTTGAAAACCAACAAAGTAACACCAGGTATGTAAATTTCAACAGTAAGAAACATGAAAAATCAAGACGTAACTCCTCCAAAAATTTTATTAACCCTGCAGCAAGGGTAGCTAGTAAAAATGAGTTAGAGGAAATGAACTGGAAATAATGATTACAAATATGTTTTGGAGCTGGAGCGATGGCTCAGCAATTAAGAACTCTCGTTCTTTCAGAATATCAGAGTTTGGTTGCCAGCACCCACTTTGGGTGGCTCACAATTGTCTGTAACTCCAGCTCCAGGGGATATAACACCCTCTTCTGATCTCGTTGGGCACTTGCACTTGTGCACAGACACACACATCTACACATAAATAAAATAAATCAATAAAGAAATGAAAATACTGAAGAAAAACCAATCTGAAATGTTGAAAATAAAATTTTAAAAACAGAGTAAGTCAAATAAAAAGCACTGTGGAAAATCTCAGCAACAGAGTGGAACAGAAAGAGAACAGAATATTTGAGCTTGAAGACAGATGGGAGATCTGGAACAATCCAACAAGGACAAATATAAGATGCCAGTGGGAATTTTAAGATAGTTATAATATTCTAAAAAGACCAAATCTATGGGCATAGAAGAAGAATCTCATACCAAATTTGTGGAAAACATGTTCTAGAGAATCATGACAGAAAATTTCCCAAAGTTAGGACAAACATGCCAATCCAGATAAAGTAGGCATTTAGGACACCAAACTGACCAGGAAAGAATCTCCCCTTGTCAGATTACAATTAAAACGCTGTCCTACTTAGCACTGTCAACTGGACATAGCCTAGAACCACCTGAAAAGGGTCTCAGTTACATAACTGTCTTTATCAGGTTTATCTGTGGGAATATGAGGGACTGTCTTTGTTAACTGATGTACAAAGCACCAGCCCACTGCCGGCAGCACCATTCCCTGGGTAGGTGGTCCTGGGCTGTATAAGAAAATCAAGCATGAGCCTGTGACTGAGCAAGCCAGCAAGCAGTGTTCCTCTGTGGTCCCTGCTTTCAAGTTCCTGCCTTGACTTCTCTCAATAATATAGTATGGCCTGGAAATATAAGTCAAATAAATTATTTTTCCTCTAGGTTGCTTTTGGTCATAGAGTTTTATCATAGGAACAGAAAAGAAAATAAATAAACACTAAATATACAGAACAAAAAGTAAATTGAAAGTGACAAGAGAGAAACACCAAGCCACATATAAAGGCAGGCCCATCAGAATAATGGCAGCTTTGTCCACTGACACCTTAAAAACTAGGAGGGCCTGGCCTGGAAAGATACAAATTCTCAAAGTCTGTTAACACACACTACTATACCCAGCAAAGCTATCACAATTAAAGGAAAAATAAAAACTTTCCATGATAAAATAGACTAAAGGAATTCATGAACCCTAAGCCAACTCTGTAGAAGATACAGTAGAAGGTATCCTACAGACTGGTTAGAAAATCAAATCCATCCATTAGGCCACAAGAAAGAATAAGCCACACTAGAATGATAATTAAGAGAGGAAGAGAAAAAAAAAACTCAAACTCTACAAAATCTATAAAATGCAGGATCAATATACATCCTTCAATAATAACTATTAATGGCCTTAATTCTCCAATCAAAAGACACAGGCTAGTAGAATGCACCAAAAAAAAAAAAAAAAAAAAAAAAACAGGAAACATCTATTTACTGCCTCCAATAAACGTATCTCGTCACAAAAGACAGATATTACCTTATGGTGAAAGGATAGAAAAAAGTATTCCAAAGAAATGGACCTAGGAAACAAGCGCCACTGTTTTAATTCCTGACAAAATAGACTTCAATCCAAAACTAGTGAGAAAGGGCAAAGAATACCACAACCCCAATCTTATCTAAAGGAATATTGACAACTGATTGCTGCTAGATGAGGAAGAGCTCATCTTCCTAAAAACAAGGGACTCTAAATAGGCTGACTAGACCTCAATGGATGGACTTGCACTGGGAAACATCTGGGGACACTAACTTGACACAGTGGGCCTTAACAGGGATGACAGAGTATATAGGCTCCAGTATGTGGGAGGGGGGAGGCTATGGGAAGGTGCCATTTGGGAAGTTGGTAAATAGATGAATAAGATTGTTTGGGATGGTCTGTATGATATATACATGCAGAAAAATCAACAAATTAAAAAAATTATATTTGAGGAGGAAGTATAAATATTTATATCATGTTAATTAGTAGAGGTGATAAACATTACCATTGAAACCTACCCAATGACTTTATACATACACAGGTGTCAAGGAGCCGAGTGCAACTGATTATGACTAGTAATAAACAGATACATACAGGTTAGAGACACATGCGCCAACATCTCAGTGTTATTAGCAAAAACAATGAGTCTTTCTGTAAGAAACAGTATATTTTAAAATGAAATGGAGATCTTTTTTAAAGGTTAAAATCCATCTATTTGTTGCCCCTAAGAAACATTCCTCACCATAAAAGATGCTGTTAGCGTGAAAGGGTGAAAAAAACACATTCCCAGCAAATGGAACAAGTAGGTGTCACCATCCTAATATCTGACAAAATAGGATTCAAATCAAAACTAGTCAGAAGAGGTAGCAAAGGTCACTTTAGACTGATTAAAGGAGCAATCCATCAAGAGGACATTACAATTTTAAACATACATGCCCAATCATAGGTGAACCTAATCTCATAAAATACTAATAGATGTAAAGTCACAGATTAACCCTAGTC